GTTTCTCTCAGAAAAACACCATCACACTCACTGGAGACTGTGACATGATAACACAAATAGTGCCCTGAGGGATAAAACAAAAAGAGATTTTAACTGATGAATGAAAGCGACAAGATGTGAACTTCATAGCTGAGGGAATGTGTAACAGTTTACAAGGGGTGTCAACCTCAGTTTCACTAAAGGCCACAGTGGGAAATAAGAATCACATGAAGGCACAGACGTTTGTTGACTTGCTTTAACTTTATCGAAAGAGTAAACGCAACTGAAGTCCTAAAGCTGTTTAGCCATTATATCATTCAGTCAAGCAAAATAATGATAATGCGTTCTCATTACAATTATACAAGTTGGCTACCATACAGCCAACTCACAACACACCAGCCTGGATATGACTCCTGGGTCATTTATTAAACCAAATGCATCCATCCATCCAGGTGTAAAGCAAACCAGAGAATCTTTTCATTTTGTTCTTGCATGTCTGAAAGTTTCACACAGTTTGTTTCACAGGCCTGAACATGACAACTCTGTGTGGTACATTATATTAAAAAAAAGACCTTTGATTACATAGATTATATGCACCATGCAGCCTTCTGCCACTAAAATAGACTGCTCATAAAATTTAAACTGCCTTTTGCTCCATCGCTTTATTTATCTGAGCTGAATCTCATATTGTGCTGTAGTCAGTTTTTTCAAAACCTCGAACATCAATATGATGGCTCAGATTGTGTTCCTGCAAAACAGAGATGTGTCATAGCAAATACATCACTCTTTCAGGACTGAATATTGTTTCTCAATCGAAGCTTATTTCCAACACTAAACATTTGTTCTTGTTTCTCTCTTTTTTCTTTTGGTCAAAATTTGGGATTATTGCAAAATTAGATTTTGTGTTACTTTCTCAGTATTTAGGAGTTTGCATGTTCTCCCCGTGTTTGCGTGGGTTCCCTCCGGGCACTCCGGCTTCCTCCCACTTTCCAAAGACATGCAGCTTGTTGGGATAGGTTAATTGGATAATCCAAATTGCCACTAGGTGTGAATGTGCGAGTGAATGTGAGTGTGAATGGTTGTCTGTCCCTGTGTATTAGCCCTGCGACAGACTGGTGACCTGTCCAGGGCGTACCCCGCCTCTCGCCCTATGACAGCTGGGATAGGCTCCAGCGCCCCCCGCGACCCTGAAAAGGATAAGCGGAAGTGAATGGATGGATGGATTCTCAGTATTTGGAGTGAGAAACATTTAGACCAACCCCAACACTATTTTGAGGTAATAACCCAAATTTTTGGACAAGCGTCTAGGAACCTCTTGAAATCACCTTTTGTCACGGTCTGCCGGGGCAAGCCGTGTGGGAACTATTTAGGACCCGGAAGCGGCAGCTCTGGTGCAGGTGAGTATTTATTAACACGAGTAGAAATAAACAGCAATGGCGGGTGAACATGAGCAGGAAAACCTAAACTGGGCAGAGCTAACAAAACAAACCAGAACAAAGATGCAGGGAGATCTGGGGAAATACACACAGGGAGACGGATGGAGAAACGCAGGGAGACTGAGGGGAAACAACACAGACAAACCAGCAACGACTAAGACAGAAGACACGACTTAAAAACACTCAGAGGACACAGGGAGATTACACACAGGTAGGGGACACAGCTGGGAGTGATTAACGTGACGAGACTAGGGAGGCAAACTGAAAACACTCACATAAGACGCAGACCTTCACAATAAAACAGGAAACACATACATGCAAAGACACAGACTAGGAAACACGGACTTAACACAGGAATAGATGGGCAGAACAAAATACACTAAACAGGAGGAACAACAGAACCAAAATCACTAATAGAAAACACAAAACGCTGGGTCAAAAGGACCCAGGATCATGACACCTTTCCTTTTTTCCTGCTTTTTGTGGTAGATATTGCTGATGTCTACAACAACAGACTGCATATGAAAGATGGATTTGGCAACCATGCTGTCACACACTGTTTTGCTCTGTTACATTTTTGAAACTTTGAGCTGTTTTTTTGCTATTGCTATCTTAGCTTGTTAAAACAAGGCATCAGGAGTACGGAGAGGATCCGACTGAGGAGAGGTGCTGCTTTGCTAATCAGAAGATTTGCCTGCCGATGAGCAACGTCATTATCATGTTTACATGATCAAGAATCAACGAGAACAAAAGACGGTCAAGTGTTTACTGAGGTTACAGATCAAAGGAGCCGTTGACTTCTTTATGATCATTCTTTTTGCAAACACAGTAGTTATCCACTGCTGCCAAATGATTTCACTCTTTACATGTGGAACTGATATCCATTTTTCATATACAGGGTATGCTTACAATTAGGGCGACCAAAACATAACGTGATATACAGACTAGATTAAAAATTTTCAAAGGGCTGAATTGAGCTCTGAAGGACTAAGTTTGATGTCTCTGATTTACACAGTCGGCTCTTCTGGTTGTTTTTAGCTTAGTCTCTGTACAGACGGACCCAGCACACTGTTACGATTATGGGTTTTTAATAGCACTTTCACAGGTTGAGTCTATCTGTTCGCAGCTTGTCTCGGCACACACATCTCCCGCTCCAGTCTCTGGCTTCACTATAAGAAAAGAGACGTCTTATTAAGCAGATCGTCACCACCTGTGGCCTCGCCTGGCTTCCCGGCACCGCCCGCTTAATGTCTCTGTACCACCCCTCCCCTAGAGCTGAGCCAGGGACCACACCTCCACCACAGTCTCTAAGCTCAGTAACCAAGAATATACATTTTATTGCTATATATTAGTATAGACCAACACTGTAAAT